TTTGAAAAAAAATTCAGCACACCAAGATTATTATTCCTTGTTTGAAGAAATTGCGCAGGCAAATATAGGTGAACTTGAAGTAATGCCAGTTCTTAGAAAACTTGCTAAACCATTTGTTATTTATATGCAAGAGAATTTGAAATAATTACGCCAGTTGAAATTTGGTATTGTGCTAACAGGAACTTGGCAGAACATCGTTGATGCTTCATACTATATATTACGCATTATATTGGCGTTTCATTTTATGTTTTCCAGTATCATAACTCCTTATTATTTTTAGTTTATTGCAAGGAGCCTATAAAGAGCCTAATGGTGACGGTGATTCTAATATTATAGTTTTTATTTTATACTTTTTTTATTATCACAGGTGGGACGCTTAAATAGAAAGAAGACAACCAGGAAGTCATGCAAAACTTTATTATAAAACAACTATCATTAAGTAATGCAGCTTTAGATCTTAGTTATTCCGTAAAATCGTAAAATATTTGAAGATTAACTCGTTTTGAATTTTACTGTAAAGGTTTGCTATTAAAATCGAGTTATGAGAGATAACCATATGACCGTAACGTGATATTAATAGCAAACCTCCATATAAAAGTATGATTTTATACCTCTTCGACAACTGCTTTAAGAGTTGATATATAATTATAAATCATTTCATAGTAAAAATCTTTCCAAATGCGCCATTTCCTAATCGTGTATATTTTTTAAAATTGAAATATTCATAATGGATGAAAATGAAATATCGTTTGCAATTGACTTTTACAATCCATATAAACATTTGATTTCTCAATGTCGGTGATTTCTTTGTTTTATTTCATAAATTATATTAAAAATAATTAATTTGCGTAACAATTTGTCATCAACATCATGATTGTTGTGACCCGCACTAAACTGCGCATTTCGAATTTAAGCTACGTTTCAATTTGAATGATCGACAGACCAACGATGTCAGATCAGAATTAAACTTAATCAAAAGTCCGGAATCTAATAAATAGGGCGGTGCCTTTATTAGTTTTCTTTTTTTTAATAATGTCGCCCCTGAATCAGAAGGCATCCTTTATTAGTTTTTTTCCTATAAGAGCCTCTGGATCTGGAGGTGTCTCTTTTTAGTTCTTAAATAAAACGTGCAATATCTAAAATAACCTTTACAATTTCTTATAATAGTTTCCATAATACGAAATAAAAAAAAATGAAATTATACATTTTTAGAAAATCTTTAATATAGAGGTTGGAACCGGTTAATTTATAACCGGCCGGCTAACATGTATAAGATTTTTTTTAACTGGTTAAAATAGATGAATATAACTCCGGCCGAAATTCAATTTCCGGCCAGATTTATGATTGTCAAAATATTATATAACTCCGGCCAAATTTATAATATTGGCCTAAGTTAATTTTAATTGGTTAACGAATATTTTGACCGGTTATTAACCGGTTAAAGATGTTTATTTATTCAAAAGATTTGCTTTTATACATTTCTTTATAAAAACCTATTTTCGCAATAACTACGAATATTGTACGTTTAATGACTTTTTTAATAGATAACGACTGCGAAATAAGAAGCAAAAAAAAAAAATTGTAAAATTAAATCACTAAATCTACAAATCTAGATGATGACAAAAAATATCAAGCAATTCATCTCTCTTTCGCATAATATTTATTTTGACATAAAAGAAAAGAACTTGTAGTTTAACATATCTGTAACATTTGGATTAAAAAACAACGTTAGTACCGGTGATTCTTACGACATCACGTTGTTTCCTTTTATGATATAATTTATAACTAAAAATACCAATTACTAGAAAAATTGCGATGCCGAATACTCCACTAATTGAAGCAATTATAATTTTCATAGTGCTTATTTGCATTAAATGGTTCGAATGATCTTCTGACGTATTTATAGTTGGAGACACAGTTGGGTTTGGTGGTGATTCACTTGTTTGTGTATGTTCAAAGTGATTAACCCAAGTAAAGTTTCTAACGTCGAACATATAAATCCTTGAATTTTTATTATTTAATGGAGGAGCGTTTAATTGAGTAATATTCCCTACAATACATTATAGTGACATTAAGTCTTTAAACGTTAAGTCAAGATATAAATATTATGTATATTAATTAATGGCTTACCAAAAGCGACAAACATATAATTTTCATATAAATTGGCTGTATGAGCTGCAAGTGATGGGACATCACCAATATTTGAAGTTACTGGCGGTGTTTTCCATTCAAATGGAGTCGTCTGAGTATTTAGAACTATTAAATCTGGAGTAACTTTCATATAATCCAGATCCGTTGCCCCGCCATAAATAATGATTTGTTCATCAGGGGCTTTAATAAATGTAAGACGTTAGTTAAGAAAAATAAAAAATTAAAGTTTATTTAGATGTTTTTTCTTTAAAAATACCTAGAACTGCAGTATGTAATATACGAGGATCTATTTTTGTCTTACTTTTCGCTTGCTAAAATATTTAAACAGAAATTAATATTATATTTAAATAAATTTCACTAAGATATAATACGTACCACCACCGACCAAGATGCTAACTTTGTATCATAAACATTAATTTGATTAATATCTACTTCACGTAGATTGTTATCACCGATTTGTTCACGACCACCGATATATACAATCATGCCATTTGATAATATCGTTGCGGTATAAATAGCTCGTTTTAAAGGTGCATTGACAATTGGACCATATGACCATGTTAAATGATGAGCATTGAATATTACCATATCATTAAAATATTTTGTTTCGTTTGACCCCACAAATTCATCAGCATTTCCTCCAAAAACATAAATATTTCCCGAATTATCAGCGACCGCTTGTATATCTCTACGTCTTTCTGGCTCTTTCCCACTTGTCACAGGTATATTCCATTGTCCCATAATTGGATCATATGTATATATCATTGAAGTAAATGAATCTTCATGATTTTTATTTTGCATTAATCCTCCAATTAGATAAACATTTGGTTTATCATGATGTGTAGTTAATACTGTAGTTGCCCAACAACTTTCAAAACCAATTCCCGTATTTTCGGTCCATAACGGGAGCTCCGCATTAAATTTATGTGTTATGTCAAGATGGAATACTTCATTCGTGCAATAATTACCATCATGTCCACCAAACATATAAATCATATCTTTATAAAGAACAGAGGAATGTGCAATGCGTCCTTTTGGCGTAAATGAATCAGCTCTCAAGAACAAAAAGCTTAAGATTAAAAGGAAAAGCAACTTGCACATTTTGTAATTCATTATTTCAATTTACTTGAAAAATTTTTTAAATTTTAGCGTTATATACATTTACAATCTTTCTTTTTATAATCCTTTATTTGGTAATTTCATGCATTAAAAATTTATTACACTCCGTATTTATGTAATAAACATGAACACTGCATTTGTTATTATCAATAGATTTTTTTTTATGGAAATATATTTTAACCGAATTTTGGTTAACTGATCGGTATTCGTAGATCTTTACCTTAAACTATTGTTACATTAATATAGTTCCGTATTGTTTTCGATTTTTGCAGTTAGTCCTTTGTAGATCATTTTGAACAGGTTGGTTGTCCTAATAATTATTTTTTTTTTTTATAAATGTGAGCTAGAACTGCCACGTTCGCCCTTTTTGTACTTGCATATACACCTAAAAAACCTTTTTTATCCCTTAGCGATATTTTCGTTCTATTTTTATTTTTGTAATTTCGCCCATAAATAAAAAGAGGGTGTAAGTTTGTTCAGTATGACTAAGCCGAGACCTTTTATTCTTTCCATTTAATTTCGACACCAATAGAAAGATTTTTCTCCAAAAAGAAAAGGCAACCCATGAGAAATACTTATTTAATTTTGTGCTATAAAATATTTTTTCCTATCTTATACTTTATTTGCTTTTTTTAATAAAAAAAATTAACAATTTCGATATGAAAACTTTTCTTGTAATTTATATACTGTAATATTATTTTTGCACATCAGGGAATACAAAAACATCGTACTAGCACAGAAAACTTGTAAAAAGGTTTGACGATAGTTGTAACGAAATGAATGTTCACTAGACTAACTTTTGGTTTGGTTAGGTAATATAAATAACAAATAAGGCATCCGAAATTTTCTTTATGAGAGCTAATTCTATATATTTTATTTTCAAATACGTGGCATGTTCCAAAATGTGTAGTCAAGATTTTATAATGAAGTAAAATACCTATGGAAATGGCCGAATAACTATTAATTATTTTTTTTTACACAGTACATTCTTTTATCGTTGTATAACATACACCCCACAAAAGTATCAAGGAAACATTATAATCGTTCTTACTTATCAGATGCAATTAGCCGAGGACTACATTAAAATGCACAAAATATCAATAATTTAAAGACCTTTTATTTTAAAAAATAAAATTTCATTTAAAAATAAAAGGTGATGATCGACTAATGATCATCGGAATGTGATAAAATTGAGATGTCCGCTAAGCCAAAAAAAGATTATCTTCATAATGTGCGATGATAATTATTTTTAAAGAAAATTTGAAAACAAGTCAAAAAATTTTTTCCGATTCAAATTATTATTTGCTGTGCTTCAAATACGCGGTAAGGTCTACATAACTTGAACAATATGTATTACTACTATTACATTCTGTAATGTTATATACAAGATAATTTGGTTGAAATAAATTTTTTTTTTTTAAAAAAAAACTTTTTTTCTATTATAAACATAAACAATGTCTTATAGTAATTATAAAGGCAAGAGTGTATTAAAGAAACTAAAAAAAAATTTCACCAAACAAGAAAAAGGAATAAAAGGTATGAAGCTTTGTATGACTAAAATGAGTTAATTTGACGGATGGATGATATTCTAAATTCTTTCTTTTCATGAATTACATTAGAGTCGGTTTCGGATTCTCCTCATTAAAAGTGTACTTGTATTTTTTAACAACATTCTAATTCGCTTATACTATTTTTGTTTGCTAAAAATTAAATTTTATCAAATTCGAATATAGAATATGATTCAATTGATGAAGGTAAATACAACATTTCTATAAATAATTAACCAATACTAAAATAATTTGTTAATTATATTTTATAATGTAGAATTAATCTTGAGTAATGAAGGTAAATATAATAATACACTGGTCTAATGATGGCAAATCGTCATCCAATCAGGTGCCAATCGCCTTTATTATTATGTGCCAGTTGGAGAATTTTGGTCCATATAACTGAGTGCCGGTTGTTACTAATATATGGCGGCAATCTGATTATGATCGTCCCCAATAAAATAGACTATCAGATATAATTTATAATGCCGATTGCTAAAAATTAATATATAACGAATGTATTCTAATTAATAATAATTTTGTTATCGGGATTTATAAATAAATTGACAACAAATTAATAAATCAGGTTCGATTGGAAATCTTCTGAATACTTTTAAACTTTAAATTAATTAACTTTTGGTAGTAAATCAGATATGGTTGATTGGATACTATTTTGACTTTTTGCTAAATAATGTATGTTCGGTTGATATAGGCTTCTTAATTTTATTATTATAAAATACAGCATTTTAAAATATACAAATTGAATTTTAAATATACACGCTATATTAGCTATACACTTTTAGAATCTCTATAAAATAATATAATAGCATTATACTGTAAACACGTTGTACTATAAATGAATTCGTGAAGTTAATTAAATGCTCCATAAAATAAAACCAGAGTTTGATTCAATCTAACCAAACTTACCAATATTTAATAATCACTATGATCCTCTACCGATCGTGACTTCTCATCCATTCTTCTTTTTATGGTTCTTGTCTTTTGAGGATTAACGAATGATGGCAAATTAGCATTTGTATCAGATGATTGTGTATTTATTGCATTTACTGTATTTGTAATTTGAGTATCTGATGGTTGTGTATTATATGATTTAGACTGTTGTTTATTGGATGTATTAGATGGATGTACATTAGACGGCTTTGTATTAGATGGCTGTATATTAGACGGATGTGTATTAGATGTATTAGATGATTGGGATGATTGTATTCGACGCGTGTTAGGCAATTCTGTGCTTGATCAGTTTCTACAGGCCTTTTTCACTGCCATCCTTAACGAACTATCATATCCATCAACAGTCCATTTCGGTGCTTGAAATGGAGCTGTTTGTTCTTTGTTTTAAAAATTTCGTGTATCTGGAACCCGATCGCGTTTCTTAGAGACCTTACTAGACTTAGAAAATATACGATCAATATATTCACTTAAAAATAATCGTAGCTACAAGATAAAATTATAAAATTAGTTTTATTAGAATCTTAATTACATATTACATCAAATCTTACAGTATCTAAGCGCCACTTCAAATCCTTTGTAACAATTTTTCTTTTACTGGATGGATCTTCTTCATCAGTTTCTGATACCTCTGGCGAATGATACGAAGATAAATTCTTTATTGGACGGAGCTCACTTTCTTTAAACATCGTGATCAATGGGTCTTTGATTTCCATTAAATATTCGATCGTATTGGTCCTATTCGTTCGTTTCTGAAATTAAATAATATAATAAGAATAGTAAAAACAATAAAAAGAACAAAATATAACTAGATCGTTACTTACGTCTTTTCTTCGGTTATTAAGATGCCTTCTTCTATTTTGCTCATCTTGATAAGTCTGTGATCGTTGTCTTTTTATATATTCCTCTCGTTGATGCTTGTGCCTATTATGAATCATAATATATACTATTTCTTCAGAAACCAGAAATATTGTTTCGTTTAAAGCTCCCATCACAACCGAAATTATAGTACAGTTTACTAGATGACGTTGAGCCTCAAAAGTTTTGTCCAATTGCAAGCGTTTATTTGATGGCATTCTCTCAATAATCTAAAATATCTGTCGCTGAAAATAAAGATTTAATATCATTTATATATATATATATTAAAACAAAAATGAGCTATGTAATTTACTCTTAAGGCCTCTTTGAGGTCAGTTGATAAGTCAGTTAGATATAAGTATTTCAGCTTTTGGTTGGGTTTAGAAGAACTTGAACTACTTGAACTCCTTACGGTTCGTCTTAATGACGAACTACTTGATGAACTAGATCTAGATCTTGCTCTAATTCTTAATGGACCAGATCTTCTAGATCTTGCTCTATTTATTGGAGAACTTGAGCTTCTTCTGGAACTTCTTGACGAAATAGATCTAATTCTTGGTGGACTTATACTTCTAGTTTCTTCAATATGAATAATTGATGAGCGCTGGAAGTTTTATTTTTCGTCTTCTGCAGTTAACTCTGTCGTTTCATCATATGGATCCAAAGGAAGAGTATTGCCTAACTCTGAAGTTTTATGGTTATTATTAATATTGTTATTAGAGGCTTTTAGAAATTCTTGAAATAGATTTAGAATTTCATGATCTTGAAAAAATACATTGATTGATGGATCTGAATATCCGATCATTATACAATGTTTATAAATGTAAATTATGATATATACTAATTATGATACGATAATTCATTATATGTAAATATGAAATATGTAAAATTCAAAAACCTTTATCCTTCGCTACAAGTAGTTGTCATTTCTCAGGTTCAATAAATTTTCTATATAGTTCTGATGTATTGAGCATTGATTTAATTATTAATAAATTATATAGGTTATATATAACAAATAAGTTTCTATTATGCTGTTAAAAAAAAAAGAAAAAATAACATTTAAAATGAATATAATGCCTTTTAGAATGATGACTTTTTGACCGATATTGACTAGTTTTAGAACTGTAGCGACATATCACAAGACCTATTTCTTAAACGCGATTTATGTCTTGAATGTGATTTATATCTTGAACGTGATTTATGTTTTAAACGTGACCTATATCGACTTGATCTATAGGAGGACCTACCATGAGAACGTGACCTATGTCGACTTGGACTATTGGACCTTCCTTTTTGATTATCAGAACAATAAGAACGATCATTATTAAGATGAGTATTTTTGCCAGAATAATACTTTATGATAAAAGATTTGGAAGAAGAGATATGGCTTGTATTATTTATTACAAGAAAAAGAGAAAGAAATATATTTATATTATTTTTTAAAAAAAAATAAAAGTATATATTTCAATTTATATTAATAATAAGATTAACTTTTCACATGATCGTAATATACTTTTTTTTTTCTATACGTAAGTTGGTATATAAAAAAAATGTCATAATACAATAATCAATATAAAATATATCGAACAATCGAACAATCATAAACTGATCATCAAAACAAACTAGTTTGAACAACAATAGCGTACTGATTATTAATATATCAAACAATACAAATGTTCAATAAATTCTATATATTAAACTTTTGAATAAGCTTCGAAATTTTAGAATAATTTGATTTAATTATGATTGCATATATATGTATATTGAAATAAACTTTGAATAATCTTTTAAAATTTAAAATAAAGAAAATATTTTTTTTTTGTTTTATTTATCATTATATTCTGAATAAATCGCTTTCGTACTATTTAAATTTCAAATATGCCCAAAAAATTAAAATTAAGACCAAAAGTACCATGTTATTGTAAAAAATGTGATGGTAAGTTGGTCGATACAAGAACAAGGAAACAACATGAAAAAATAGAGATACAGCTCAATAAATCAATCTCCAACTTGATGAAAGGTAAAGAAAAAGATAATCTGATGCTTGATAATACTTATGAAGATAATACTCGTAAAGCTGATTATGAAGATGATATTTATGAAAATGACATTTGCGATGACGATATTATAATGATCGATGATAATAACAATTATCAATGTAAAGAATTTTCTATCAGAAAACCGATTGGTGTCAAAAAGAAATGAAGAAGACATGATCAATTTCATATGATTGATGATATTATTAATATTCAGAATGAAGAATCTGAGCAACATATTAACTCATCTAGTGATGATGATAAAGAGTCTCATAACTTAAACGATAATGAATCAATTGATGACAATGAACTGAATTTAGATAATTATGATGATGACTTTTTTACAGCTCCAAACTCCATTAAACTTGATTACGATTCAGATCAGGAAATCCTGAAACTATGAATAAAGAAATGTGAATTCTTCTTTGGATCTTTAAATACCAAGAAAGGTTTAGACTTTCTGACATTTCAATCAATTCTTTGATTGGATTCATCAACATTATTTTGAAAGATATTAATCCAAATCAGTTTAAAGAATTTCCTTCGACTGTTTACATGGCTAAAAAATTATTAAATATCAAAAAAAAGTTAAAAACGTATGCCGTATGTCCCAAATGTGATAAGTTGTATAATATTGCAGATATCATGCCAAATAACTCAATATATATCAGGAGTGAGTTCAAATGTACTTATATCGAACTTCCTAATCATCCAATGCAAAGTCATCGCAAATCTTGTGAAGCAGAACTGTTAGAAAAGATACTAACAGTCAAAAATTATGTTTGACGCTCAAAAAAGATATATACATATTCATCCTTAAAGGTACAGTTAACAATTATGTATAACCGACCGGAATTCAAAGGTCTCTTGAAGAAATGGACTAACCGGGAAGTGGATAATGGGCTAATGATTGATATCTATGATGGCAAAATTTGGAAAAATTTTTCATCGCATTTAAATATTCTGAACTCTGGCAAATTCTTTAATGCTGAAACAGCTGATACTAATCTCAGAATCATGATCAATTTAGATTGATTTCAACTGTTTGAATCATCAATTTGAAGTTGTGGTGTGATTTATGGTTCTATTTGTAATTTACCTTACGAATTAAGATTTAAGAAAGAAAACATGTTGATTCTTGGACTATTACCAGGGCCTAGTGATGTAAAATTGCATTGAATCAACCATTACCTCGCTCCTATAGTAGACGAATTATTAGAGTTTTGGGATGGTTGTAATTTACAAACAGAAAATAATCCAGTAATGAAAAAAGTTTGATTGGCTATTATTTGTTGCAGCTGTGATATACCAGTTGCAAGAAAATTATATAGCCACATATCGGCACTTGTCAGATACCACAGATGCTATAAAAGAGCTAATAGTAGTGAAGAGAATGAGAAACAGAATTTCGGTGGCTTCGATGATATGCATGACTGGTTTAAAATAAAAGACCTAGAAGAGCATAGACGTAATGCAATTGTCTGAAAATTCCAGAACACAAAAAAAGCAGAAATGACATATTAGAACAAGTCACGTACGTTAGTCAGAAATGCTAAGATTACCCTATTTCAATCCAATTAGACATCTTATTATTGACCTGATGCATTATCTTTTCCTTGGTATTGCCCGCTGAATAGTAAAAAGGTTATAGGTAGATGAGGGTAAAATCGATAAAAAAAAATTAGAGTTGATAGAAAAAAGAGCGAAAGATATAAAAATACCAGCTAATTTAGGTTGAATTCCTTATAAAATAGCAAGTGGAAAAGGATTCTCTGATTATATTGCTAATCAATAGAAGTCATTTATCCTAATATATGTAACTCCATTGATGTGGGACCTTCTGGATAATGAAGATCGTCAAATTTTGACCAATTTTATGAAGGCTTGTTCATTACTTGTCTATCAAGTTATCGACGATAATATATTGAAAAAATTACATTTCCAGTTATTAACTGTAGCCCAGTTAATTGAAGAAAATTACGGTCCAGAGTTAATAATACCAAATATACACTTTTTGCTTCATATTTCTGAATGTTGCTAGGATTACGGACCTGTGTATTCGTTTTAGTGTTATTCATTCGAAAGAATGAACAGTATTTTAGGTGAGTTATATGTCTATTATTGTCAAATATATATATTATCATTAATCTGTAAATTATATCATTAGGTTCCCTTCCAAATAGCCATTGCTAAATTGAGTCAGAATTATTGCGGATTATTATGCAAAATTGAAGGCTTAATGACCTTCTATCTGCTCAATTGAATAACATGAACCTTGTTAGAGCTTTAAAATTAATAGAACTATAGGCATTATCAGGAAGTTTAGCAGCTTACGATAAATTTGAATTTGCTGAACTAAATCAATTTAGGCTAATTTATAGTCTTGAGGTTGAAATTACAATTACTGGCACTGAATTTTTTCCTGGCAAGATTATGTCTCCCAAAAAAATTAATGTTAACTTACTAGACGATTTATATATACTTCTAGTAGAGTATTACAATACGGCGTATGAAGGATTAGATTTTCTTTCAATTGCAAAAGCAGTCCAAAGTCCAGGACACTCCAAACGCTGAGTTATAATACAACCACATATAAATCAGTATAGGCGTACTAGAATTGGAGCTGAAGTCTTCAGATCGATTATTACACCCTGTTATTTGAAAAATTTCTTTATCCTTACGAAATTTGTTCAGAAAAATGGATCTATTAAAGTATTTCCAGGTTAAGTCCAATACTTCTTCGAACATGTAGTGAATACAAAGAATAAAAACATCTATTAGCTTATATAAGATGGTTTAAGCCAGCTTCATCTCATCAGATAAGATTCTACTTTCATATTGGTGATGATCAGAACTGTAATATGAAAATTTGGTCGAAGGATTTTTATGATAGTAGTAGAGATTGCATTATACCGGTACATAATATTTTAGGCCGATTTATACCTTATGATTACAAAATAGGAAAAAATCAAATTAAACATATGGCCGTAATTCCTATAGGAAGGAATTTCATTTGTAACTAAATGGTATTTCTAGTAAATTTACCAATTTTTTTTAAAAAAAAATTCAACCATTAAGATACGGGTATACGAAATTTTTTATAAAGCCGATAAGATGGAAACGGTTATTTTCGAAAATAAGATAGGAGATAGCTATCTTTCGTCAAAATTATAGAGATGAAGAATATATAAGAATATATAACGATGAGAAACAATGTTTGATGGGATATGCAGGTGTGTAAGTATTGAGTTAATATTTATCAAATATCGAACATTTATTCTTTAATTTGTAAATTTGAAATTGGTATCTTAATATATTATATTATACACATACATTTATATTTTACCAATAATTTCATTATGCAATAACATATACCGTAATTATTTTTTACAAATAAATATCAACAGTAAGCCGGTTGTTCTTTATTTACATATGAAGACTCTAAATCAATAAATATATCAAAACTGTCTATTTAATGTACTAATATATTTTAATATATAAGTTCCTAGTATGTAAAAAAATAACGATTGCTCTTTATTTTATCTATTTTATCATATGAAGACTTTAAATTGATAAATTAATTTCAACTGTTATGATTGCCAATTAGACTGCATTTTGCCTGTTAACATTTATAGGTAATTTTCCGATTGTATCTAATTTTTTAAAGGTACCGATCACCATTTATTTTGTCATTTTAAGGGCCAGAATTGACCAATAAACTACAATCAGCATGATTGCTAGTTGAACGGCATTTTACCTGTGATAGCTATAATACTGTAATTTGTCATCTATATTTAAGTTTATTAAAATTTTTAATAAATAAAAACTTAAAACTAGTAACTAGTGATAAAGGTAAAAACAATAACAAATATAATTAATCAATAATATAATAATCTATTATTTATACTCAATAATTGTTCAAATATTAGATGGTAAAGAACATTTATAAATTGTTTAAATATTAGATTTGCAATAACCATAGTAATTAATTTTAAAATTTTCTCAAAAATAAATATATTATAATATAACCAGTTTCAGATACTCCTACATTAAGAGAATTATATGGTAATAAACTTTATTTATCTATTATTTATTTACAATCAAATTATAATTTTTTAATAATTAAAATAATTAAAATATTTTTTTTTAAAAAAAAATTTAAATGATAATAATACTTAGATTGTAAACCATTTAATTTTTATTATACAATTAAAATTTAATTAAACTATTAACTAAAAATATTTAATAATCAATAATACTTTAAAGAGTAAGTTATTTATTTTTTATATTTAATTTAAACTTAAATTATTTTATAAAATTTTTAATAATAATTAATAATATTTTAGTTGGTAAATTATAAATATTTATTTAATATTTAATATTATTTATAAATAAAATATTAATAATTTAGATGATAAATTATTTTTATTAATTTAAAAATATTAATAATCTTTATAATATTATAAAAATAAAATATTAATTAATAATAATATTTATTTCTCTAATTTAAAATCAACTAATATTTTATTTAAAAAAATAAATTTTATTAGCAGGTAAGTTATTTTATTAATTATTAATATTTAATTATATTTATTAGTTTAATTTAAAGTTAGCTAAATTTTTTATTTTAAAAAATAATTAATAATTTAAATTGTAAGTTATTTTGATTGATTATCAGTATTTAATTATACTTGTTATTATAATTTAAAATTAACTAAATTTTTATTTAAAAAATAATTAATAATTAATAATACAATAGATAGTAAGTTATTTTTATTGATTATTAGCATTTAATTATACTTATTACTATAATTTAAAATCAACTAAATATTTTATTTAAAAAAATAAATAATAATAGATTGTAAGTTATTTTTATTGATTATTAGTATTTAATTTTATTTATTATTGTAATTTAAACTAAATTTTTTATAATAATTTAAATTGTAAGTTATTTTTATTGATTATCAGTATTTATTTATACTTATTATTGTAATTTAAATTAACTAATTTTTATTTAAAAAAATAATTAATAATATAATAGATGGTAAGTTATTTTTATTAATTATGAATATTTAATTATACTTGTTATTATAATTTAATGTCAATTAAATATTTTATTTAAGAAATAAATATTAGCGAATAAGTTATTTTTATTAATCATCAGTATTAATTATATTTATTATTGTAATTTAAAATCAACTAAATTTTTTAAAAAATAATTAATAATTAATAATACAATAGATAATAAGTAATTATTATTGATTATCAATATTTTAATTATACTTATTACTGTAATTTAAATTTAACTAAATTTTTTATTTAAATAAATAATTAATAATTTAGGATGTAAGTTATTTTTATTAACTATCATATTTAATTATGTATAATTTACAGTCAACTAAT